GAAGCAAAGTTTCCTTACTTTAGCAAAGGAAAACCAGTCTCCTCTTGGCTTATATCGAAATCCTCCAACATTCTTCGTTACAAATCCTCTTTTGTACTTCTAATTAGTCAGGGCTGTACGTTAACTTTTTTTTCACATAGCACTGGTGCTACAGAGGTTGAAAGTTTTGTAGCATAGGCCATCGCTTCATGAGTACAAGCTCAGAAAAAGCGCATTCAGAACAGCACGTGAATTAAAGGTTTAACCGGTATTGCTTTAAAGCAGATGGAAATAATGTAGTTTTGTGATTGCGCATAAGTGCAGTGTCCCGTGAGAGTAACTCTACCGCTGAGTTAACACTGATGTGAATGCATGTGGCGTTGTACAGTATATTGAGACGGAGGGAGGCGGCAGAACTGCAGCTGATAGAATGTGCGCTGTAGCAGATACTACAATATTTCTTCAAAAGCAGATCATGGAGACATTTTAATAGTCCACGATCAAAAATCGTCATATCGCACACCCCTGACTACCAAGTATAATCAATCTCACACACACAAACAAGCACAAGAAATCACTTCACACTATTAATCGGTTGTGTTATGAACATGCAAAACTGTATCGCACGCGTGCTACAGTGGTAAATTTATTCATCGCACAGACCAGTTTTTTCATAGCACGTGCGACATATATGTCTGTACAGCACTGTACAGCCCTGTTAGTGACTGTTGTTTTGTTTTGATCTCTCCGCTGCGCTTCCGTGTTCATCACTTCTGAGCGGCGCATGCACAACACTGACCTCATACGACATCCTCCCGGAGCTGCTATTAAAGTGATTATTACGTTTTGATTATGGATATTTTTCATCCAAAAACGCATCGATTCGCTACAGAAGGCCTTTGTTCACCCCCCGGAGCCATGTGAGACACTTTTTTTATGGATGGACGCTTTTTATTTAACTTCTTTTGGACTGAAGCAATGCAACACCCGCTGAGTGGCATTAAACAGCTTGAAAGATCAAAGACAATTTTTAATATAACTCCGATTGGATTCGTCTGAAAGAAGAAAGTCATATACACCTAGGATGCCTTGAGAGTGAGTAAAACGCAGTCTAATTTTCATTTTTGGGTGAACTAACCCTTTAACATTAGTTTAGTTTAGTTTTATTTTTAAAGTTTGACAAGGCAGGTTATTGCAGCACAAAAAAAAGAACAGTTACTTTTTCTCTTAGAAGCACAACCTGAAATGTGTCAAAAATAACCTGTTCAAAACACCACAGATAGGTAATCTATAAAACAATTTAAAAGCACGAGGAATAAAAGAAAGTTCATGTCTTTTTGTTTTGCTTTTGGGCATAACATGTTCCCTACCGTGGTATGTTACAGAAACCAGTATAATATCATGGTGCTTAGCGGTAAAAGCAACAGGTGGATGTTTTCTAGAAGATTTTCTACCTGAACCATGTTTGATTCAGTAAAACAATTAAAGTCAATATGAAACACATCACAACCTATTTTATCTATCTATCTATCTATCTCTTATTTGTTTTTGAATGTGTTTTTTTTGTTGTTGTTGTAGTTCTCTTTTAAAGCACTCAGTTTTCCTCCTGAAGCGTTATCCAATAGGAAAAGAGGGAATGGTGATGTCAGCTGGAAAGAAAAATCGTTTAAGATTAAGACGACAAATGTGTTTCTTTGCAATAATGATTTGAGCACAATATGATGATTTGAGTCCATTTAGATGTCCAGATGACAGTATGTCCAAAAACATATACCGTGGTACTTTTTGTTAATGGTAAAAGCAACAGGTGGATGTGGATATTTTTTGTAATGTAATTATTAGGTGACTCCAACTACTAACTAGCTGACTATTTTATATATTTTTGTAGTTCTTCTCTTTTAAAGCCTTATTTCAGCAGTCAGTTTTCCTCCTGAAGCGTTACCCAATAGGAAACGAGGAACTGATGATGTCATCAGAAATAGAAAGTCGTTTCAGAGGTGCAGCGCGATTTTACTTTTTAATGACAGATTATGAAGACGGATGTGTTTTTCTTTGCAATGATGATTTGATCACATGGTGATTTAGGTTAATGTAAGTGTTATAGACATCACGCAAATCCATATGCAACATCCATTTTTGTTCATGTTAAAATCAACAGGTGGATGTTTTTAAGGATGTTTATTTTCGAAATGGCGTCAGGCAGTTCAGTGTTTTATCTGCTGTTTTAATGATGATAATACGCATTTTTTTAAGTAACAAGTAAGTACCATAAATATAGTAATCATGCAGTACTATGGTATTACCATAATAGGTTTGTTCTGTGTGGTGGTTGTTAACGGTTTAAAGACGTTCAGCTAATGTCACACACACACACATTCTGGGCTGTAGCAGGTCATCTGTTAAAGTGTGTATCCTGTGTCACAATATCACCTTGTGTAACTATATACACACACACACACACTTGCAGACCCCAGAGGAGTGTGTGTGTGTGTGTGCTGAATAATGGCTTGTGTTCCGGAGTTGTTCCTCCTCCTCTAATGGGAGCGTTTGTGAGTGAGTGAGTGAGTGTGTGTGTGTGTGTGTGTGTGTGTGTGTGTGTGTGTGT